TAGGGAGCTCCACCTAAGGCCCTGGTGGCGCAGCCCCCATGTGGGCGCCACCCTGTTTCGACACACCCCTCACACATGTCGTGACCCCACGGAGAGCTCTGTCCAATGTCCCCGTGGCGCAGCCCGCATGTGGGCGTCGCCCGCTGTTGGGCACACCCCTCACACGCTTCGTGGCCCCACAGGGGGCCCCGCCGAAGGCCCCAGTGGCGCAGCAGCCCGCACGTGGGTGCCGCCCCCGTTTCGGCACACCACTCGCACGGTTCGTGGCCCCAGCTCCAGGCAAGGCCCCATTGGCACAGCCCGCATGTGGGCGTCACGTTCGTTTCGGTACTCCCTTCACACGGGTCGTGGCCCCACAGGGAGTTCCGCCTGAGGTACCAGTGGCGCAGCCCGCATGTGGGCGCCACCCCCGCTTCGGCACACCAGGGGGTAATTCGGTCAGCGGGGCCCAGGCCACGCCGCTGGGGATAGGGGTCGGATAAACGCTGTTCAATGTGGAAGAAAAACGCGCAACAGTCAAGAATGAATCGAACCATTGTCAAAAGAGCAAGAACAATCGCCACCCGATTGCTTGTAACTATTCTTGAACGTTCCTCCTGCAGACGGACATGCCCGGCTTAATCCACGTCTGTCGTTTCGGGGAGGTCAGGGGCAACGATAGGGGGGGGGGATGGGCGCGGGGGGGATGCATCGTCCCCCAATCGCCCATTGACCCCTGACATGGGCCCGATAGCCCCGACTTGCCCAGGAAGGTGCGGATTCGCGATCGAGGGCCCCTCGCCGATCTATCGGCGAGGCACTGCCGAATCCAAGTCGACGCATCCCCCCCAATGCCAGGGCCGCGCCTCGAGGCGCCCGCCCACGGGCGGAGGCGCGCGTGACGGGGGGGGGCGCTGCGGCCGGAGGGCCAGGCGCTCCACGTCTTAGGTCGGGCATGTCCTCGTCAGGCGAATTTGACGCATGTGTCAGTCTCGTTCAACCGACCCCCATCCCCATCCCCATCCACTTCGAGACCCCCACCACATTCCCCCCCCAGTTAGGGGATACACCCTTCGAAGCCCGAAGGCTGCGGCCTATGTACAACTGCAGATGATGGGGTATTTCGCTAGGATAAATGTATCATCCCGGCGGCCACGCAGGCAGGAGCTATCGACCACGGAGTTGCATGACACGAGCCACCGAATCCATCCTTGAAAGAGGGCGCCTCGGTGCGCAGTAGCATTTGGGGCTCAGGCGTGTATACCCAAACAGCGATCCTCTACCTCTTATCTTGTCCTTCCCCAGGTGAATGGACCAGGCGCGGGCCAAACCCGGCCAAGTGGTTGGTGTTGTTGTTGGCCCATTCCGCACTAATCGCGGCTGCCCTCGAAGTGCAGCCACGCACCAACTTTTCCTCAGAGACCAGCACTACCTGGACGCTGCTGCTCAGCTCGAACTTGGGCAACACCAACATCGGGGATTTCTCCAGTGGCTCCACGTACGGAACCCAGAGCAGCTACACCTGGTCGGATTATCGGATCGGCTACACTGGGTCGCAGCTCCAGAGTCTCGGCATGTATGGTATGCGCGTGACTACCGCATCTGGATATTCGGTCGAGCACTACTGGACCCTGAGCACCTCGGGCTTCGACAACACGTGCACGAGCTGCAATAGCGCCGGCAATCATCTGGGCGACAGCTACTACTGGCACGGCGGACGCGGCGGCTGTTGGGGCTCGTCGCACTTCGGGCTCAAGAGGGAGGCCGATGTACACAGCGCGTGCAGCGTTGGGGGCTACGAAAATGGCAACGCCTGGGGCCACTTCCACCGCACGCACATCAATACGGGCGTCTATTTTTTCGGCGACAGCTGCATCAACTTTAACGAGTGGGGGGAGCGGTACTTCTTCTGGGGCGCCTTTGCGACGCCGTCGCCGACTCCGTGCCCGACGCCCTACCCGACGCCCTACCCGACGCCCTACCCGACGCCCTACCCGACGCCGTACCCCACGCCGTACCCGACGCTTTACCCGACACTCTACCCGACACCCTACCCGACGCCCAACCCGACGCCGAGCCCGACGCCGAACCCGACGCCGTACCCGACTCCGTACCCGACGCTGTACCCGACGCCGTACCCGACGCCCTTCCCGACGCCCTTCCCGACGCCCTTCCCGACGCCCTACCCGACTGCTTTCCCGACGCCCTTCCCAACGCCCTACCCGACGGCCTTTCCGACGTCTTACCCGACGGGCTACCCAACGCCCCCGACGGCCTTCCCAACGCCCTTCCCGACGCCCAGCCCGACGCCCAGCCCGACGTATCCTCCGGGTTGGCCGACGCCGCATCCGACGTTTCCTCCTGGAGCTCCCATGGCGGGCGGAGCCGGCGGAGGCGTGGCTGCCACGGGCGATCCCCACCTCCAAAACGTTCATGGTGAGCGATTCGATCTGATGAAGCCGGGCAAGCATGTTTTGATAAACATCCCCCGTGGAACGAGCGCTGAGGAGGCATTGTTTCGTGTGCAGGCCGATGCGCGCCGACTGGGGGCACATTGCGCGGACCTGTACTTCCAGGAATTGAACGTTACTGGGTCTTGGGCAGAGGCAAAACAACATGGAGGGTACCATTACAGCGCCTCGCAAAGTGTTGCGGGTACTCCGCCATGGGTTGCGTTCGGTCAGGTCGAGTTGAAAGTCGTTCATGGACGCACGGGCGGTGGCCTCCTGTACTTGAATGTGCACGTGAAGCATTTAGGGCGAGCAGGGTTTGCCGTCGGAGGTCTGCTGGGGGAAGACGACCACAAAGAGGCAATGACTCCCCAGGCGGCATGTGCAGAGCATACATCTCTATCGGAGGCGCAAACGAGCGGCCAGGTTCCTTCCTCCGCGTCGTCAGTTGCGGTGGCAACACTGGCGTGACCGTGCGGGACAATGGAGGATGAGGGCACGAAGAAGTGCGTCCCCTGAGCCGTGAGCGCTCCTCCCGAGGCATGTGCGATGCGTGCGGAGCCTTTTGTTTTCTGTGGACTAACATGATCACCGTCGCTCTATGCCATCTGCTGCTCTTGCGTCCTCCGCTTGACAGCATTAGCATTCCCCTACAGTCTGGTGTGGGGCTGGGGGCGAGGACCTGTTTGAACCTGCAGTCGGAGAAGGGGGGGGAGGATAACCGCGCTCTCATTCGTTGTTTTGCTTTGCGGCCGAAAGGCCAAACACTGATCCAGAACGACAAAGAGTCTCGGGGGCTGGAGGGTGAGACCCCTATAGCCCGCAATTGCCAAACTCACATCGTCGGATGTCTGGGAAGAACGATCATTCGAGGTTCGATGAAGAGGATGGTGTTCTCACAACCTTCCTGTGTTGAAGAGGCAGCACCCCTCGCCTTTTCTCCCGCTGCCCTCTCCCTCCTCACCTCATCATCATCTGTCTCCTCAGTATCGTCGTCATCCTCATGCTGACGATCATCATCATGATGGTGATGATGATGATCATCAGCATCGTCATCCGATTCATCGTCGTCGTCATCGTCGTCATCAGCATCAACACCATCATCATAGATGGGTACATAGTTGGAGGATTCGTGATCATCATCATCATCATCAGCAGCAGCAGCAGCAGCAGCAGCAGCATCAGGACCGTCAGCATCACCATCATCGTCATCACCATCGCCGTCATCATCAACACCGTTGCCATTAGCTTCGGCACACCCCTGACACGGTTCGTGGCCCCGTAGGGAGTTCCACCCAGGGCCCCAGTGGCGCAGTCCGCATGGGGGGGTCACCGTTGTTTCGGCACACCTCTCAAACGTTTCGTGGTCCCACAGATGGGTCTGGCGAAGGTCCCAGTGGCGCAGCCCGCATGTGGGCGTTACCCCCGCTTGGGCACGCCCCTCACACGCTTCGTGGCCCCATAGGGAGCTCCACCTAAGGCCCTGGTGGCGCAGCCCCCATGTGGGCGCCACCCTGTTTCGACACACCCCTCACACATGTCGTGACCCCACAGAGAGCTCTGTCCAATGTCCCCGTGGCGCAGCCCGCATGTGGGCGTCGCCCGCTGTTGGGCACACCCCTCACACGCTTCGTTGCCCCACACGGAGCCCCGCCGAAGGCCCCAGTGGCGCAGCAGCCCGCACGTGGGTGCCGCCCCCGTTTCGGCACACCACTCGCACGGTTCGTGGCCCCAGCTCCAGGCAAGGCCCCATTGGCACAGCCCGCATGTGGGCGTCACCTTCGTTTCGGTACTCCCTTCACACGGTTCGTGGCCCCACAGGGAGTTCCGCCTGAGGTCCCAGTGGCGCAGCCCGCATGTGGGCGTCACCCCCGCTTCGGCACACCAGGGGGTAATTCGGTCAGTGGGGCCCAGGCCACGCCGCTGGGGATAGGGATCGGATACGCGCTGTTCAATGTGGAAGAAAAACGCGCAACAGTCAAGACATAATCGAACCATTGTCAAAAGAGCAAGAACAATCGCCACCCGATTGCTTGTAACTATTCTTGAATGTTCCTCCTGCAGACGGACATGCCCGGCTTAATCCACGTCTGTCGCTTCGGGGAGGTCAGGGGCAACGATAGGGGGGGATGGGCGCGGGGGGGATGCATCGTCCCCCAATCGCCCATTGACCCCTGACAGGGGCCCGATAGCCCCGACTTGCCCAGGAAGGTGCGGATTCGCGATCGAGGGCCCCTCGCCGATCTATCGGCGAGGCACTGCCGAATCCAAGTCGACGCATCCCCCCCTATGCCAGGGCCTCGCCTCGAGGCGCCCGCCCATGGGCGGAGGCGCGCGTGACGGGGGGGGGCGCTGCGGCCGGAGGGCCAGGCGCTCCACGTCTTAGGTCGGGCATGTCCTCGTCAGGCGAATTTGACGCATGTGTCAGTCTCGTTCAACCGACCCCCATCCCCATCCCCATCCACTTCGAGACCCCCACCACATTCCCCGTCCCAGTTAGGGGATACACCCCTCGAAGCCCGAAGGGTGCGGCCTATGTACAACTGCAGATGATGGGGTATTTCGCCAGGATAAATGTATCATCCCGGCGGCCACGCAGGCAGGAGCTATCGACCACGGAGTTGCATGACACGAGCCACCGGATCCATCCTTGAAAGAGGGCGCCTCGGGTGAGGCAGTAGCCATTTGGGGCTCAGGCTGTATACACAAACAGCGAATCCTCTACCTCTTGGTCCTTCCACCAGGTGAGATGGGACCAGGCACGGCAAACCCGGCCAAGTGGTTGGTGTTGTTGTTGGCCCATTCCGTACTAATCGCGGCTGCCCTCGAAGTGCAGCCACGCACCAACTCTTCCTCAGAGACCAGCACTACCTGGACCCTGCTGCTCAGCTCGAACTTGGGCAACACCAACATCGGGGATTTCTCCAGTGGCTCCACGTACGGAACCCAGAGCAGCTACACCTGGTCGGATTATCGGATCGGCTACACTGGGTCGCAGCTCCAGAGTCTCGGCATGTATGGTATGCGCGTGACTACCGCATCTGGATATTCGGTCGAGCACTACTGGACCCTGAGCACCTCGGGCTTCGACAACACGTGCACGAGCTGCAATTGCGCCGGTAACCATCTGGGCACAGCTACTACTGGCACGGCGGACGTGGCGGCTGCTGGGGCTCGTCGCACTTCGGGCTCAAGAGGGAGGCCGATGTACACAGCGCGTGCAGCGTTGGGGGCTACGAAAATGGCAACGCCTGGGGCCACTTCCACCGCACGCACATCAATACGGGCGTCTATTTTTTCGGCGACAGCTGCATCAACTTTAACGAGTGGGGGGAGCGGTACTTCTTCTGGGGCGCCTTTGCGACGCCGTCGCCGACTCCGTACCCGACGCCCTACCCGACGCCCTACCCGACGCCCTACCCGACGCCCTACCCGACGCCCTACCCGACGCCCTACCCGACGTCGTACCCCACGCCGTACCCGACGCTTTACCCGACACTCTACCCGACACCCTACCCGACGCCAAACCCGACGCCGAGCCCGACGCCGAACCCGACGCCGTACCCGACTCCGTACCCGACGCTGTACCCGACGCCGTACCCGACGGCCTTCCCGACGCCCTTCCCGACGCCCTTCCCGACGCCCTACCCGACTGCTTTCCCGACGCCCTTCCCAACGCCTTACCCAACGGCCTTTCCGACGCCTTACCCGACGGGCTTCCCAACGCCCTTCCCGACGGCCTTCCCAACGCCCTTCCCGACGCCCAGCCCGACGCCCAGCCCGACGTATCCTCCGGGTTGGCCGACGCCGCATCCGACGTTTCCTCCTGGAGCTCCCATGGCGGGCGGAGCCGGCGGAGGCGTGGCTGCCACGGGCGATCCCCACCTCCAAAACGTTCATGGTGAGCGATTCGATCTGATGAAGCCGGGCAAGCATGTTTTGATAAACATCCCGCGTGGAACGAGCGCTGAGGAGGCATTGTTTCGTGTGCAGGCCGATGCGCGCCGACTGGGGGCACATTGCGCGGACCTGTACTTCCAGGAATTGAACGTTACTGGGTCTTGGGCAGAGGCAAAACAACACGGAGGGTACCATTACAGCGCCTCGCAGAGTGTTGCGGGTACTCCGCCATGGGTTGCGTTCGGTCAGGTTGAGTTGAAAGTCGTTCATGGACGCACGGGCGGTGGCCTCCTGTACTTGAATGTATACGTGAAGCACTTAGGGCGAGCAGGGTTTGCCGTCGGAGGTCTGTTGGGGGAAGACGACCACAAAGACGCAATGACTCCCCAGGCGGCATGTGCAGAGTATACATCTCTATCGGAAGCGCAAAAGAGCGGCCAGGTTCCTTCCTCCGCGCCGTCAGTTGCGGTGGCAACCCTGGCGTGACCGCACGGGACAATGGAGGATGAGGGCACGAAGAAGTGCGTCCCCTGAGCCGTGAGCGCTCCTCCCGAGGCATGTGCGATGCGTGAGGATCCTTTTGTTTTCTGTGGAATAACATGATCACCGTCGCTCTATGCCATCTGCTGCCCTTGCGTCCTCCGCTTGACAGCATTAGCATTCCCCTACAGTCTGGTGTGGGGCTGGGGGTGAGGACCTGTTTGAACCTGAAGTTGGAGAAGGGGAGGGGGAGGATCACCACGTGCTCATTCGTTGTTTTGCTGTGCAGCCGAAAGGCCAAACATGGATCCAGAACGACAAAGAGTCTCGGGGGCCGGGGGGTGAGACCCCTATAGCCCACAATTGCCAAACTCACATCGTCGGATGTCTGGGAGGAACGATCATTCGAGGTTCGATGATTAGGATGGTGTTCTCCCAACCTTCCTGTGGTGCTTGGTCTTCGCTTTGAAGTGGCAGCATCCCGCGTCTTTTCTCCCGCTGCCCCCTCCCTCCTCACCTCATCATCATCTTTCTCCTCATTCTCGTCGTCATCCTCATGATGATCATCATCATGATGATGATGATGATGATGATCATCATCATCATCATCAGCAGCCTCATTCGATTCATCGCCATCGTCATCGTCGTCATCAGCATCAACACCATCACCATCATAGATGGGTATATAGTTAGGGGATTCGTGATCATCATCATCAGCATCAGGACCACCAGCATCACCACCATCGTCATCATCATCGCCGTCATCATCACCATCGTTGCCATTAGCTTCGGCACACCCCTAACACGGTTCGTGGCCCCGTCGGGAGCTCCACCCAGGGCCCCAGTGGCGCAGTCCGCATGTGGGCGTCACCGTTGTTTCGGCACACCTCTCAAACGTTTCGTGGTCCCACAGATAGATTTGGCCAAGGTCCCAGTGGCGCAGCCCGCATGTGGGCGTTACCCCCGTTTGGGCACACCCCTCACACACTTCGTGGCCCCATAGGGAGCTCCACCTAAGGCCCTGGTGGCGCAGCCCCCATGTGGGCGCCACCGTGTTTCGACACACCCCTCACACATGTCGTGACCCCCCACAGAGAGCTCTGTCCAATATCCCCGTGGCGCAGCCCGCATGTGGGTGTCACCCCCTGTTGGGCACACCCCTCACACGCTTCGTGGCCCCACAAGGAGCTCCGCCTAAGGTCCCAGTGGCGCAGCAGCCCGCATGTGGGTGCCGCCCCCGTTTCGGCACACCACTCGCACGGTTCGTGGCCCCAGCTCCAGGTAAGGCCCCATTGGCACAGCCCGCATGTGGGCGTCACCTTCGTTTCGGCACTCCCTGCACACGGTTCGTGGCCCCACAGGGAGTTCCGCTTGAGGTCCCAGTGGCGCAGCCCGCATGTGGGCGTCACCCCCGCTTCGGTACACCATTCACACGGTTCGTGGCCACATGAGGGGGCTTTAGTTCAGGCCCCAGTGGCAGCGCCCGCATGGCGGCCCCGCTTTGTTTCACCACACGTTTTGCACGCATCGTGGCCACGAAAGGAGATCCACCCACAACGACGGTATGTATATCCCCATCAAGGGGGGTAAATCGGTCAGTGGGGCCCAGGCCACGCCGCTGGGGATAGGGATCGGATAAACGATGCTCAAGTTGCGGAAAAACCCGCCACAGTCAAGAAATAATCGAAACATTGTCAAAAGAGCAAGAGCAATCGTCACCTGACTGGTTGTAATTATTCTTGAATGTTCCTCCTGCAGACGGACATGCCCGGCTCAATCCACGTCTGTGGCTTCGGGGAGGTCAGGGGCAACGATAGGGGGGGGGGATAGGCGCAGGGGGGGCGTATCGTCACCCAATCGCCCATGGATCCCTGACAGGGGCCCGACAGCCCCGACTTGCCCAGGAAGGTGCGGATTCACGATCGAGGGCCTCTCGCCGATCTATCGGCGACGCATTGTCGAATCCAGGCCGACGCATCACCCCCCTATGCCAGGGCCGCGCCTCGAGGCGCCCGCCCACGGGCGGAGGCGCGCGTGACGGGGGGGTCGCTGCGGCTGGAGGGCCAGGCGCTCCACGTCTTAGGTCGGGCATGTCCTCGTTCAACCGACCCCCATCCCCATCCCCATCCACTTCGAGACCCCCCACCACATCCCCCCCCCCCCCAGTTAGGGAATACACCCCTCGAAGCCCGAAGGGTACGGCCTATGTACAGTTGCAGATGGTTGGGTCCTTCGCCAGGATAAATGTATCATGCCGGCGGCCACGCAGGCAGGAGCTATCGACCATGGAGTTGCATGACACGAGCCGCCGAATCCGCCCTTCAAAGAGGGCGCCTCGGGTTGAGGCAGTAGCCATTTGGGGCTCAGGCTGTATACACAAACAGCGAATCCTCTACCTCTTGGCCCTTTCACCAGGTGAGATGGGACCAGGCACGGCAAACCCGGCCAAGTGGTTGGTGGTGTTGTTGGGCCATTTCGTACAAATTGCGGCTGCCCTCGAAGTGCAGCTACGCACCAACTCTTCCTCAGAGACCAGCACTACCTGGACGCTGCTGCTCAGCTCGAACTTGGGCAACACCAACATCGGGGATTTCTCCAGTGGCTCCACGTACGGAACCCAGAGCAGCTACACCTGGTCGGATTATCGGATCGGCTACACTGGGTCGCAGCTCCAGAGTCTCGGCATGTATGGTATGCGCGTGACTACCGCATCTGGATATTCGGTCGAGCACTACTGGACCCTGAGCACCTCGGGCTTCGACAACACGTGCACGAGCTGCAATTGCGCCGGCAATCATCTGGGCGACAGCTACTACTGGCACGGCGGACGCGGCGGCTGTTGGGGCTCGTCGCACTTCGGGCTCAAGAGGGAGGCCGATGTACACAGCGCGTGCAGCGTTGGGGGCTACGAAAATGGCAACGCCTGGGGCCACTTCCACCGCACGCACATCAATACGGGCGTCTATTTTTTCGGCGACAGCTGCATCAACTTTAACGAGTGGGGGGAGCGGTACTTCTTCTGGGGCGCCTTTGCGACGCCGTCGCCGACTCCGTACCCGACGCCCTACCCGACGCCCTACCCGACGCCCTACCCGACGTCGTACCCCACGCCGTACCCGACGCTTTACCCGACACTCTACCCGACACCCTACCCGACGCCCAACCCGACGCCGAGCCCGACGCCGAACCCGACGCCGTACCCGACTCCGTACCCGACGCTGTACCCGACGCCGTACCCGACGCCCTTCCCGACGCCCTTCCCGACGCCCTTCCCGACGCCCTACCCGACTGCTTTCCCGACGCCCTTCCCAACGCCCTACCCAACGGCCTTTCCGACGCCTTACCCGACGGGCTTCCCAACGCCCTTCCCGACGGCCTTCCCAACGCCCTTCCCGACGCCCAGCCCGACGCCCAGCCCGACGTATCCTCCGGGTTGGCCGACGCCGCATCCGACGTTTCCTCCTGGAGCTCCCATGGCGGGCGGAGCCGGCGGAGGCGTGGCTGCCACGGGCGATCCCCACCTCCAAAACGTTCATGGTGAGCGATTCGATCTGATGAAGCCGGGCAACCATGTTTTGATAAACATCCCGCGTGGAACGAGCGCTGAGGAGGCATTGTTTCGTGTGCAGGCCGATGCGCGCCGACTGGGGGCACATTGCGCGGACCTGTACTTCCAGGAATTGAACGTTACTGGGTCTTGGGCAGAGGCAAAACAACACGGAGGGTACCATTACAGCGCCTCGCAGAGTGTTGCGGGTACTCCGCCATGGGTTGCGTTCGGTCAGGTTGAGTTGAAAGTCGTTCATGGACGCACGGGCGGTGGCCTCCTGTACTTGAATGTATACGTGAAGCACTTAGGGCGAGCAGGGTTTGCCGTCGGAGGTCTGCTGGGGGAAGACGACCACAAAGACGCAATGACTCCCCAGGCGGCATGTGCAGAGCATACATCTCTATCGGAAGCGCAAAAGAGCGGCCAGGTTCCTTCCTCCGCGCCGTCAGTTGCGGTGGCAACCCTGGCGTGACCGTGCGGGACAATGGAGGATGAGGGCACGAAGAAGTGCGTCCCCTGAGCCGTGAGCGCTCCTCCCGAGGCATGTGCGATGCGTGCGGAGCCTTTTGTTTTCTGTGGGCTTACATGATCACCGTCGCTCTATGCCATCTGCTGCTCTTGCGTCCTCCGCTCGACAGCATTAGCATTCCCCATACAGTCTGGTGCGGGGCTGGGGGTGAGGACCTGTTTGAACCTGAAGTCGGAGAAGGGGAGGGGGAGGATAACCACGTGCTCATTCGTTGTTCTGCGTTGCAGCCGAAAGGCCAAACATGGATCCAGAACGACAAAGAGTCTCGGGGGCCGGGGGGGCGAGACCCCTATAGCCCACAATTGCCAAACTCACATCGTCGGATGTCTGGGAGGAACGATCATTCGAGGTTCGATGATTAGGATGGTGTTCTCCCAACCTTCCTGTGGTGCTTGGTCTTCGTTTTGAAGAGGCAGCATCCCGCGTCTTTTCTCCCGCTGCCCCCTCCCTCCTCACCTCATCAGCATCGTCGTCATCCTCATGATGATCATCATGATGATATGATGATGATTATCATCATCAGCATCAGCAGCCTCATTCGATTCATCGTCATCGCCATCGTCGTCATCATCATCAACACCATCATCATCATAGATGGGTACATAGTTGGAGGATTCGTGATAATCATCATCATCATTATCATCATCATCATCAGCATCAGGACCATCATCATCACCATCATCGTCATCATCATCGCCGTCATCATCACCATCGTTGCCATCAGCTTCGGCACACCCCTAACACGGTTCGTGGCCCCGTAGGGAGCTCCACCCAGGGCCCCAGTGGCGCAGACCGCATGTGGGCGTCACCGTTGTTTTGGCACACTTCTCAAACGTTTAGTGGTCCCACAGATAGGTTTGGCCAAGGTCCCAGTGGCGCAGCCCGCATGTGGGCGTTACCCCGCTGTTGGGCACACCCCTCACACGCTTCGTGGCCCCATAGGGAGCTCCACCTAAGGCCCTGGTGGCGCAGCCCCCATGTGGGCGCCACCGCGTTTCGACACACCCCTCACACATGTCGTGACCCCCCACAGAGAGCTCTGTCCAATGTCCCCGTGGCGCAGCCCGCATGTGGGCGTCGCCCGCTGTTGGGCACACCCCTCACACGCTTCGTGGCCCCACAAGGAGCCCCTAAGGCCCCAGTGGCGCAGCAGCCCGCATGTGGGTGCCGCCCCCGCTTCGGCACACCACTCGCACGGTTCGCGGCCCCAGCTCCAGGTGAGGCCCCATTGGCACAGCCCGCATGTGGGCGTCACTTTCGTTTCGGCACTCCCTGCACACGGTTCGTGGCCCCACAGGGAGTTCCGCTTGAGG